CTTTCCACTCCAATTGCTGAAACAGTCTTATCTCAAACTAGATTTCAAGCTTTAGTTTGCAGTTTTAGTACCAGACAAGGACTAAAACTGCAGACGTAACTTTGCTGTTAGGAGTGTACATTGTTCTTAGCTGACATGCTGTAGATTAATGGGTTGACTTTATGCAAAGTGTGCACAAATGCATTGATCAGAGCGGGAAGCTAGGACCATTTACAAACAGTATACTCATGACAAGGCGTTAAACAAAATGTCTCTAAAACAGCTGCTATTTCTGAATAACATGACTTCTCCCTGTGCTGCCTACAGCCTTCAGACAATTGTGTTATTAAACTGCAAAGTACACACATTTGCATACTATAATTATCTGGAGTAAGATGTGAAGATGTATGATTGATGTTTCTGTTGTGTCCCAGGGCATTAAGCATTAACAGAGAAGCAGTTTTCAGTCTTCATATATCAGTGTGCTAGAGCCATAATGATTATTAATGTAGGTTTTGTCAATATGTTTCTAATCTCTTCACTGCACTGGTGATAAAGTGCTGTTTTGTATTTGTGATCTAAGCTCTTTAAAAAAGGTAACAATATGAAATTAAGAGGGGAAAGGCCCTAATATTGACTTAGTACAAGCTTAGATATATTCTGTTTGCTCACTACTGAAAATACTAGATGAACAGTATAATAATATCACTCGAGTGACTATTCATGGGTTTCAGAGTGATAAAACATTGATTCATTTACAATTTAAAACATAATAACCTATCTTTTTAATGGTTACAAGGTATTCAAACATCCTGTGTAAACTTGAAGCTTGAAGGTTAAAAACAGGCCCCTATGAATGCAATAGTTAATTATGATTTATTTATTATTAAGATTATTGACCTCCATTCCCCCCAATATGTTTTTGATGTGACTTTCAGTTGCATTATTTTTATTTCATCACTGTTACCTTCCTTGGCCACCTGGCATCATAAGCTTGATATTACTTATCAGATGACTGTCTCAAACCTAAATCACTATTGATTGTACCACATTGCATTCATCATTGTGTCGATATCCCTGTTTGTCCTTCTGGCTTTTCCGTGTTATTTCCTTATCTAGAGAGGAGCAGAGTAGTTTTACCAGCACACTAATAGGCATCCTGTCACCCCAAGAGCAAGAATGGCCCATTAAAAGCAAATAAGAAAAGGGCAAAGAAGGAATAACTGATGAGATGTCACGTTTTCAGACCAGCACTGGAGAGGAAGGTACTAATTTCTGTGTATATCTGTTATGGTGATGCTTGAACAATAGGACAACCATTGCCGTAGGTCATAGCCCAATTTGTTATCTGCACCTGATCCTGATAGAGCGTGAATCATTTTGTCTGTTTATTTTAGTCATGAATAGAGAAGAGGTGCATACAACATTATTTATAAGGCAAAAGCTGGCATGATATTTTCAAAATGTTAAAAATATTACGTTAATCATGGAATAACGTGACTAGTAAAGTTAAAGAATACTGAATACTGTGTCTAGTGTAAAACCACCAAATATATACATTCAATCCCATTACTACAACTAACATAGCTGCTATTACTACTAAAATACTCACACATAAATAACTGCACAAAATACTAACATTTATATTGTCATGATTTGGAAAAACACTTGCATTACCTCTTCCAGAACAACTTCTATTTGATACTTGTATTACTCCTGCTACTACTACTAGTACTATTACTACTACTGTATGTAGTAGTTTGACCAATTTAACTGCTAACACACCTATTAGCACCTGAGTAAAAGCACTGAGCAAGTTTTCATTATCGTGTTATTGCCCATTTGTGTTCAGTAGCTGCGTGGTCATAGCTCGCACCCAGAAGGGAGTAGCCAAGGTGCTGCTGTATCCAGGACTGCACCATTGTAGCAAATTCGCAGGGGTAACAGCAAGGGAGGAAGTGGATTTGTCAGCAGCCACAAGATTCAGCTGCACAAAAAACAGCCCTGGAGACCTGATCCAGTTTTAGACTCCAGCGTTTGTCAGCAGGTTTAATTTGTGACCTGGCAACCCACCGATCCCAAGGCTACCAAGAAAGAGCAGCACTGAATGAGCTATGGGACTTCTCACTATCTTATCCAATATACAAAGAGTAATCATAATATTGTGCAGATTAACATAGGCCAGACTATTCTAATGTTGATCAGTGCTATCTTGCACCTGCTTCTGGTCATAATAGATTTTGTTCAGGGCCTGGATTTGCAGCATGTTTACTTTAAGAGTTGACATAAGTGCATATGACGGAGATTTCATTGTTGACAGACCCAAAAGTCAGTCAACCAATGTGCTAGGATTCATTGGAAGACTGGTAAATATTTAAACAGCCTACGTGTATTTTAATGGAAAAAATCTATTGTTAACATCACCAAGCCTGTCTGCAATTAACTAAAACTAATACTCAGTTACTTAAGAGCATAGCAGTAGTGGTAACAGGATAGAATAAGCAAATTAACTAGCATAACAACTCTACTCAATTTATTTGTATTTATTTGAGCTTTTGCACATGTTTTTCCAACATGGTTTTTAACTACAAATGGGAAACAAACTAACCTGATGTAACCTAACCCATTACAAACTATGTTTCTTGTTACATGGTTCCATTCTTAATACAGGGTTTGAATTAATAACATTATTTAGTAGAATAACAGATGTGTTCAGTTTCCATGACTAATTACAGTGTATTACTATAATCAAACTTTCCTTGCCACATTTTTAAACTTATTTATTTAACTCATTTAGTTTTTGAATTTTTGTACAAATATAAGATAGATTTAGCTAAAATTACATGAGCAATTTAATTTAATGGTTTTATAATGCAGTATCAGTCTCTTGTTATCTTTTTGCTACTTATTTAGAATGTATTATTACAATTTATATTTTTACTCTTTGTTATTATTATATATTGGGATATGTGAGCTACTGTGTCCAAGTCATTTCCCTTGTAGATCAATGAAGTTTGTCTAAGTCTAAGCCTAATTTTGCAGTGACATAAACCATAGAGTAAATATATATTTCAGTTGTATTACCTGAATGTATAAACTAATATAAAAAAGATAAGCCTTAAAAGTCTATGGCAGCATGCGGTCTATTATAGTGGTACTGAAGCAAATCACAGCTAATATAATGCCTCATTGCCCCTCTATTCTCTGCTCAGATTAAAAACAATTGCTTTATGAATAGTGCGTTTCTATTGCTTTTTACAGCTGCTCTATTAGCCATGGCGTCACGTTGTGAAAAGATAGAACAGCCCAAGGTCGACCCTGAATTGATGAGTGATGTTTTGACGTCAAAGGAGTCCTTTTCTTTGTTTCCTTGCAATTGGTGCATTTTTTTACAAGTTACATTGCAGTAGATTTTGAATGTGTGCCCAGTTATGCATTATTTATAGGCGAAAGAATCTATGCACTTGAAATTGCAGAAAGGACAGGCTGTACAACAAAGACAAAGTTGTAATTTCACAAGTAGAGTTTACTGGTGCATTTGTAGCCGTACAGTGCAGTAGATTTTGGGCATAGGGAGAGAGGAGGAAAAATGCTCAAAACGACAAGCAGCAACAAACCGTCATATGATCGGAGGTTACCATGGCAACTGATCCCAGCAGTCAGCCCTTGGAAAATGAGTCACATGAGTAGATGGAAGGAGACAGGGAGCATAGACGGTGTGTGCGTGCATGTTGACGGCTGATGCAGGAGCAGTAGTAGCCCAGTAGTAGTTAAAGTAGCGGTATGTGTGTTTTGATAAAGGTGGGGGGGCAGGTGGTCATGTGACTGGAGGCCTCAGGTTCACTGGTGCATTGGAGACGAGAGTGAAAGCTTATGTTTATCCATTCTAATCTCTTTTTAGCATGAGAGTGTACAGTAAAATGTATTTTTACATTTTTACATGTAGTGCTTGCTTATCAAGCACTACATTAAAATAGTTAAGTTAATTAGTTTTCAGATTAGGGAGTTAGTGTTGGGTTAGTTTATCATAAGTCTATTGAAAGTATTTCTAATATTCTAGTTAGATTGGTTGGATTAAAGTGTATGTTTAATGAACTTTGGATTGCAACATTAGAATTTCCCCTTGTGGAACAAATAAACATTATCTTTTCAGAGATGTTTGAAATATGCTTACACACAGATAAGACTTTACATTAAGTTTGTAACTTTACAACAACTTTAATGCATTTTCTATTGTAAAACTATGTTTCTATCATAAATGTAGTTGTCTAGTAGTTGCAGTGTTGTTGTATGGTTAAACTTGCTGCAGTTCTTACTTTCCCCTTTGGCTTTTAGTTCAGAAAGTCAATGTATGCCACATCTTGATTTCAGTCTTCATTTGGGGTCCCATCAGACACTGTGACAGACTCATTGTCAATCTCAGCAGTATATTGCAGTCTACCAAAGGACGTGTAAAATGTGTCTCTATTTTCTTAGAAGAGCCAAGTGGGTCTTTTCACAGCAGTGCATTGCATGATGGGTGTATTTCCACCCACTTAAATGCAAGTGGGTATGTGTTGGCTTGAATCAATAATAACACAGCCGTGAGTTATCTCTAATGTCCACATTAAAACAACAAGATAAGAATCCTAAATGTCAAAGTGATGGATATTAAAGCAAAAAAACTGCTTCTCTGTTGATAAAAGCCACCCAGGGTTCCAGGGAGTGAGCGGAGTGCAGCGCTGCCAGATAAATCCAAGGACAGAATAAATTGCTGGTGTCAAAGAGAAAAATGACTGTGCTACAAATTATCTTCACTGGAGTTACAACCATTAAAGAAGTCTGACTTTTTGCGCCTATTTTAGCCCACACTACAGAGGACTTCACGCCTGTCTGATATGTCTATTAGGCATTTAAATGAGTGGATTCCTGTCCTTACTTCGGAGAGACTTAAGAGCTTTTCCACTGCGCGCTGCAGAGTCAGGTGTGGGATGTTGGCTTTTTTCATCAGCTCGTATCATGTGTCTAATGTTGTTATCGATGTTCGGCTTGATATTACCCACCTGAGAACATTGCAGATGTTTTGGGATCATCTGCTGACGTCCTCGAGCGGGTGACTCAAACTTGCGTCAGACGTCGTCGTGACTTGCCATAGTAATTCTGCCATCCTTTGGGAACCTGTTTTATTCCACAACATAGCCCAAACCACGTGGACACAGGAGGTATACTTGCGTATGTGAGGAAGACTTTTGTTGGAGCTGCGGAACATTAGCGCTCCTTACTTTACCCAGGCTGGTACATTGACTCTGAGCAAAGTTGAAGAAGGCGTTTGGTTACTGCGTCAGACTTTACTCGCCACGCGCTCTGTGTGAGTGACTGGGAAGCATCTCTCCATTGCGCGCGGCGATGTTCGTACGGATGCGTAGACTGAATGAAGATCACGGGGTTTAGGATTCTCTGTGTCTCGCTACATCTTTAACTGCCTACATAAAGGTGAGTACCAATGCCATACAGTTGGGCTTTAACATATACGAATTGCGTTGTGTGGCTGTAATAGAATATAGAAAACAGTGGGGGCTTGCCATCGTACATCACCCAGATTCAGGGACACGCCAGCGTCATCTTTCACCTGACAAGTGTACAATTCCCCTCTACACTGACTGACGCTGCTCATAAAATCCTCCCTGTTCGCGATGATAGCATAGCGCTGCGTGTGGGGCCAAATCTGATGCTCGGTTATGGCATCCATCTACTTCGCGCCATGTGCCGTGAGCTATCTCCCTGCATCTCTGCATTAAGATGTTGGTTTGACCTTGGGGAGGCGTCAGAGGTTGCTTCCTCCGAATGTGGTTTGGGGCCTGACTGGACTCGTCTGGGGATGCTTGAGCGTGCAGGTGTTGTTTGGTACCTGGGCTATATTCACCTTTCCTCTGGCTGCCTCTCCATCGCTGACAAAAAGTAACTTGTGACCCACCCAACCGCGTCTTTTAAAAAGGCAACTAAGCACCAGTTATTTATGTGTGTGTTGGGTGTAAAAATGCCAGTTTAACCACTGGCACAGGTTTCAAACGTGTCAGTGCAAGTTGTTGTAGCCTCCCTCTAATGGATATTGTGGTGCTGCTGCGGATGGGGTTTCATTTTTGCAGGAAGAGCCATTGCTTAGCAACCAGACTGAGATAAAAGTGGAGAGCTCATCTTTGTAGAGAACAGACAACCTGTGTTGTTGCATCATTAACACTACTGTGAGGCTGGGGACACACTCCAAGAATGTATGTGCAAGGTGTACTTAACAGACAGACTAACTATAGAAATTGCATTGTCACACTTTTCTCATGGTGTGAAAACACAAATAGTTTGCTGGACTCATGGGCTTCAACACTGTCCCCTGTACATGATGTCCTGCTGTCACTGCAGTGAGCCATCTGCCTCTCACTACATCATCAGACACATCAAGTTATTGCTCAATCTTTCAATTTAGAAAATCAAGTGCAGACCAACCAGTAAAAAATAATCCAAACTTATAATTGCACATAAATAGGACAGTTACTAACAATACTTCCAGACTATTCCCAGCAGTAAACTTTGCCAAGCTGTCCCTGTTTGCTAATTTATAGAACACGTTTTAGTTCAAATAATCCCCCATAACTTTGTGCAGGCATCTGTTTAATGCTGCTGCTGTGTCGTGACTACAGAGGCCCACTGTTGAGGAATGCCATGTGCGTGCTACTACTGAGTGGGCTTAGTCCAAATACTGCCTCAAGTCATTCTCTGAGAATAATACTCATCACACAATACTGTTTTTACATTTGGCTGAACTTCCTGTTTGAGAAAAAAGACACTTTTTCTCACTTAGACACAAACATTTGGCTAGAGTGCTAACTGTTCATGCGTTGATCAGCATTATTATTTTAATGGTAGGTGCACTATGTAACTTTATGGTCCAACACCTTGTCCCCCTGGAAATCTTTTCCCTGGGGTGTTTCACAATATGGCATCAAACTCATCTTGCATTTATTTATTCAGTTACAGGTGTTTGTAATGCTATATCATGCGTTCTTTGAGTGGGGTCATCTCTGCACAGATATTACCTGTAAATTACAGGTCAGATCTGTGGTAGTGACTCAGTAATGCCATACTGTGGTACATTATTGACAAAGCGATAACATCTCCTTAGAGACGAGCAGGAACCAGTAATGTTACATAGTATATCTTAAAAGAAATAACATCAAATTAATTATACATAAACCTCATGAATAAGACAGACACAGGCACATAGATACAGGAACAATGTATGAAAAATGTATGTAATCATGAAGAAATGTACAAATAATGTTTTATTAGTCTATGCCAAGGTCATCCTGAGTTATCCTTTACAAACATGCTCTGCAAGGCTCAACTCCACTATAGCTCACATCTACAATCTTTAAATGTCTTTTGGGTGCTGTAACAGTGAATGGAGTTGCAGTCTGGTTGCTGTTGAGTATATTTCACAGTTTGACATTTGGTGTTAATTAATGAGCTGTAAATGCCAAAGATTTCAGTTCAGATTTTATGTAATTTACAAACACCAGTCTCCTGAAGACCAGAGCCTGGCGTGAATTTCATGGTTGAACAATGATTGCTAATTGTGAAATTATTTTTTGCTGTGTGGGTGGAAATATATCACAGGGAATTATATAATGCAAATTAAGCAACTGTGCTGGTATAAATCAAGTAAAGGACATTTATTTTATGATAAAAGTATCAAGTGAATATTTGACTAATTGGACTAATACCAGTTGCTGTTTTAATTACTTAACTTTTAATTATTAACATTTAGGATTACACTAAATTACACAATATTGTAATTACAGAATCTTTATAAAATACATATATGTTCATTTGTATATTGCATTTGTTTTCTGATTGTTAAATGAACATATAGAAAAGTACAAATTTCCTTCATACTTCATAAACTCCCTAAAGTATTTTATTGAAAATTAAAAGTAATCTGACAGACTGCCTAATGAGAGAAATCTACCATACAAACTAATTCAGTAAACATATAGTCCATTCGATTTAATTGTATAGCCACAATTAGAACAGTAGGAAATCAATGGGTCACAATTGGCACTAATTATTTATGTGTGCAAAATGTCAACAGTGTAATCCTATCTCTGCCTCACATGTTGCTTTTCTCTTTCTTGGCACCTCATTGATATTGAATGAATAAGCTGTTGTCCTAAAAAAAATGTAGAAGTTAATTTTGATACTAAGAAAAGGTTATGATTATAAAACACATACTTTAAAGATATAATGTACAAAATATTAACTGTCTAGTATTCTGTTGTAATTCTGTGTTGCTTTTTCCGCTGAATTAAAATTAATTTATTGTCAATACTAGTTTTAATGTTGATCTAGGTGTTGATTTTGACAAGCCTAGATTTCAACAATGTAATATCACTCAGCTTCAAACTGAAATTGCAGCTGTTGGAGGATTTTATTAAAAGGCCTAAATTGCGCTATTTTCTGATTTATGTTATAATCTTGTTTCCTCAACAAAAACATACCTGGAGTTGTGTTTTGTTTCATTCACATGTGTTAAATGAACAAATCTTTTTCTTTCTTCTTTTCTCAAACGGAAACACTTTGCTCCACCTTATGATCTCGTTATAATACAGGAAGTGCTCCACTGCATTTTTGAAATCCATACACCTTCATTAGAATTATGTGGATAATTTCAGCCCTGATGTTGTGAATTTCTACTGAACTAAAGGTAAAAGGTGTGGAACACAATTCCAGGTATGTTTTTGAGGAGGTAACAACATTCTAACATGGCTTAAAGCTCACAAGAGTCAATTTTGCATAATATTGGATCACACAATTTGGATTTCACAATGCAATATCACTCGGCTTGGAACTAAAATCTGAGCTATTGAAGGATTGTTATTAAATATGTTCAGATGCTGATTCTTTATTCAGGGACAAATTATAATAAAAGACTAAAATCAGCCTCCTTCTAATCCAAGGCATTGTGTTTACGGGGATTTCTTGTGTGCTGTATGGTGTTCACAGAGGGCAGGCGGCTGCTCATGAGACACACATGACTCTATTGGAGGATAATGGCCATGCTGTAAAATGAATGTAATTTAATCTTCAGGTCTAATGAAATGAATTAGATGAATACCTAAGTGTCACAGTTTATCTGCAGCTCCTAAGACAGGTCTGGCTCTCTGGTAAACACACAATGACCACCGACCTAAATATAAACCATATTGTCAACAGTATGGTACAAGGAAGAATAATTTTATATTTAATCTCTCTTGCAGTAAAGAGGAAATTAGGTGCATCTAATATACTTTGTGTCTCAGCTCAAGTCTTAACACAGCAGATCCCATACTTAATACAGTGATTTGCTGTAGGGCTGCAAGATTAATGACAGTTGAATTAAAAACTTAATTAGCAAATCACAAAGGCTCCAGTTATTTAGGAAATATATTGTCCCCTGCAGATAACAAACCCCTTTGTTCTGTCTCAGTTTAAAATCTGCTGTCTGCATTTTACCTCTTTATGTTCTGTGTGTTAATTCACACTGTGATAAGTGCCACAAAATATGTAACTGAACACAGTTGCATCATTTCTTTTCCAGCAACAAAGCAGACATTTTCAGCAAGGTCTAGTTAGGGGCTTGTGCTGTATTGAATTAACATATCATATAACATAACATACCAAATCAATGCTGGTCAATAAAAATTCACTAAAGTACAATAAAGATGAAGATAGGCTAAAGAGGAACAGTTGTGTTTCTACTGTAAGACTATAAAGTTACATAATCTGGTTATCGGGGTTGTTCCTGTTGTTCATGTACTCATTGTCATAGTTCTTCCCCCAGCAAAGATCAGAGGGGATTGTTTCAGGAAGGACATCTTCAAATCAATATGCTAATTACTACACCCTACAAACAATCATAATAAGGATAGACTTCTTTTGTTGATTATTTGTGAATAGGGAATAATTGTAAAAAGTTGTGCCTTTATTTGTCTCCACAGTACAACAACAACAAGTACAACAAATCTCCTACCTCCCTTCTGACCCCCTCTCGACCTTTCACCTTTGCCCTTCTGGCCCTCTCGCGTCGCAGCCATGCCAAAGAACACTAAAGTGACCCAGAAGGAGCATAGCAATGAACCAGTCACAGAGTCCGTGGCTGACCTCCTGTCTCTGGAGCATCCCATGGGCTTTAAGAGCAGTCAGATGAGTATGGGCCTGAGTCCTGGGTCCACTGCTCCGGTACGCGCCCTGCTTCCCTCTCCTGACCCCGACGCAGAGGACGGGCGACCAGCCTGGAACAACAAGCTCGAGTACATCCTGGCCCAGGTGGGGTTCTCTGTCGGCCTTGGCAACGTCTGGAGATTTCCGTATCTGTGTCAGAAGAACGGAGGAGGTAAGATTAGAGCAACTGTAATATAATAGAAGTGCATATGACAGGTTAGACAAGATATTTAAGAATTTACTGAAAACCTTGAGTTTTTTTTAGGTCTACTGAGAGATAATTCCGTAACTGTACACAACAACTATAATGTTAACAAGGGCAAAAAACTTGGCTAAATTGGCAACATCTTAATTTGGTTAAAATTAACGATTAAACTATTCATACCTCAATCAACAACTTTTTTGTACTTTTCTTCTTAACTTATTTTCCACAAACTGCCACTTGACTGTAGAACTTTGCTAAATATTGACCAAAGTTACTATCTATATTGAAAAAGCATGAAAACCTGTCACATGCACTTTAAATTGAAAATGACGGTAGTTAGAGCTATAAAAAAAAAAGTTTGTTAATGAAAGGCTTGAATGTTTGGGAAGGCTTTGCTCGGATCCTAATTGGGCCACCATAGTAGTGTGCATATGCTGCAGGCTGCTGAGACATGGTAAAGGAAAAGTGTACAATACTGAGTCAGATCTGGAAATGTGCAGTTTACAGACTATGTTTGGTCTATAAATCACTGATACAACCAGAGTCTAGATGCTTAAAGATAATTTATAGGAACAGGAGCTCCGGGGTTTAATTGTTTGTTTAATAACGTTCAAACCATTTAAGAGCTAGCTTTAAAAACATGAAAACACAATTTATTCTTTACCAGTGTATCATTGGAAATTGCTGGGTTTCAGATCACATCATAAAATCCTTTAGTTTTATACTATTTAATAATGATGGGAGTGCACTATGTAGTGAGTTCAAGGTCCTGGTCACAAATAGAAAGGCTGAACATTTGAACATTTTTCTTTAATATAAAAAAATTGTAAGAAAAACAGATTTATGAGATGATTACATTCTAGAATTCGAAAACCACCAATGACAGAGATACATCATATTACACTGTATCAAACATTAATATACAGGGTTCATTTTCTTGAACCACTAAGACAAGAAGTACCATTTTACAGAGACAGGTCTCCTCCAGACAGTGTTGTGAATCTGTTACCTGCTGCTATGCTCAGAAAGTCTCAGACACAAATATTCCCAAGACTCATCACTGTCAACCTATTAAACCCAAGGACAACTAGAGCATGTACACATTTGAAGACACAATAAAAAACAGGAAGCACGAAAAGTGAGTTAGAACGGGTTTTTTAAGTGATTGGACAGTTGAATCTGTCTTTTCACTTGTGAATATGGTCTTTGCTAGTACTTCTCTGTAGTATGTATGTATGTTAGTTTTTATGCAAGATCCCCCCTTTTAGTAAATCAACCAATGAACATTTTTAGTCAAACATGAATTTCTTTTGTTGCCTATACAGCCCTATTGTTTTCTCCAGTTTAGTTATACACTTTACGTTATATTCTGATCCACTCTATAATGTGTGGCATATTTTTAGAGCTGTCATCCTTTGGTGTTATTTTTATGTGGGTTAATTACATGTCTAAGCCTCCCTGCTGAACTTCTTACCCTTGTCGTACAAAGTTTCTTCATTCACAAGGCTGCGGAGTCATTCTCGTCTGTGATAAATTGCATCCTGTCAAGCAATTAGCGAGTCAGCGGTGCAAACCAGGGCCACAGCACTTGTCCTAGCATCAGTGTCTGCAGCTAAATCAGAGATGAGGGGAGGCAGAGACCATGGTACTCCTATGGTTATGTGGTGACAAATGATAACAAGGTATAACATATTTCATTTTATTTTGATTGGCAATGCTTGTTACTTCTTACACTGGTATTCATATGAGAAAGTGTTCATTGTGGTTAGGTTTATTTTATGTAATTGTTGATAAGTAAAGCTAATTAACTTGTAAAGAAGTAGATATCTAGTAGTAGTAGTTGTTGTAGTAATAGTATTTTGAAACCAAAATGATGAATAAGATGTTGGAAGTGTAAAGTCTGCTTTCCTGAGCTCTCAGACAGTTGTTTAATATAAATTATGAGGTGTGTGTCATCCATCCATTTGCTTCCACTCATCCGGGGCCAGATCATGGTTGATTGTAGATGCCAGAGCCATCTCAGCTGGCTCCTCTCAATGTGGAGGAGCAGTGGCTCTACTCCAAGCTCTTCTCCTGTGGCTGAGCTCCTCGCCCTATTTCTAAGAGAGCGCCCAGTCACCCTGCAGAGGAGACTCATTTTGACCACTTGTATCCACGATCCACTTGTATCATGATCATGATTACCCAAAGCTCATGACCATAGGTGAGGGTAGGAACATAGATTGACCGGTAAATCGAGAGCTTCACTTTTCGGCACAGCTCCCTCTTCACCACAATGGTCCGATAAAGCAACTGCATCACTGCCAACACTGCACCTGTCAGTCTCATGCTCCATCCACCCCTCACTCATGAACAAGACCCCGATATACTTGAACTCCTCCAGTTGAGGCAGGGACTCTCCACCCACCCGGAAAGGGCAAGCCACGTTTTTGCGGTTGAGAACCATGGCCATGGATTTGAGGAGTTGATCTTCATCCCAGCTGCTTCATACTCGGCTGCAAACCACCTCAGTGCATGCTGCAGGTCCTGGTTTGATGGAGGCATTAGGACAACATCATCTGCAAACAGCAGAGCTGAGATCCTGTGGTCCTCAAACTGGACCCCGTCTGGCTCCTGACTGCACCTAGAAATTCTGTCCATAAATACAATGAACAGAACTGGTGACAAAGGGCAGCCCTGGCAGAGTCCAACATGCACTGGGAACAGTTCTGACTTACTGCTGTCAATGCAAACACAGCTCCTGCTCCTGTCATACAGGGACTGGACAACCCTTAGCAAAGGGCCCTGAACCCCATACTCCTGGAGCACTCTCCACAGGACACCACGAGGGACATGATCAAATTCCTTCTCCAGACCCACACGGCTCATGTGGACTAGTTGGGTAAATTCCCGTGAACCCTCAAGCACCCGATGGAGACTATATAACTGGTCCACTTCTCCACTGCCAGAACAAAAACCACACTGCTCCCCCTGAATCCGAGGTTCAACTATTCGTCGGATTCTCCCCTCCAGTACCCAGTACCGGCCTATCAAATCCTGATCCTGTCATATCTCAGAATCTAAGTAAGGCCGGATCTGGTTAGTACTTGGATGGGATACCACTGGGAAAATCAGGTGCCACAGTGGGGCAAAAACTGGCAAAAACTACTGTTGTGTCTTTAGGCAAGGCACTTCACCCACATTGCCTAGTTTGAAAGTGGTGTGCGTGAGTGATGATGGTGGTTGAAAGGGCCGATGGTGCAGATTGGCAGCCGCACTTCTGTCAGTAGGCCCCAGGGCAGGAGTGTAATTCCCCTGTAGCTGGTACATACCCTTCGGTTCTTGGTCCCTAGGTTCATATGTTCTTTTCTGTTTACTCCTGATATTGTTACTAAACATTGCAAGTGAATTTGACCTATCCATCGGTGTCGCTCTGGAAAACTGGAGTTGTTGTACATGTACAGCTATTGGGTTTAGGAATTTCCAGATCTTGAGCTTTTGGTCAGGATTTTATAGCTGGAGTATAAGTTTATTGTGAGTGAAACTGTGCATGAAAACAGTGAACATGGAAGGCCCCACCCCTGTTTGCTACTCAACTCAACCACTGGTCAGTTCTTATTCCATGAGCATGATGCATTAACAAAACTGCACCTGTCACTGAATAACAGAAAACAAAGAAAATATATTTGGATTAAAGTTTCATTTCTTAGGTTTGTGATACCATTTGAGGCCATATATTTAATTGAGGAAATTGAAAAACAACCACAATGAAACTAATATGTGACAATTCTTTCTATTCTCCAAAACACTTTTTTTATCTCCTGTGTTGTGTCCGCTTCTTAAAATAGACTTCAAAGCTTTATGAAAACTAGGCAGTGCATCAGCAGTCACTTCTAACATCCAGATAATAATACAAGCCTCTTTCTGCCTTTGTTTGGATGCTATTACCTTCAATAGCCACACACAAAGGCAGTGTGCTTTATTATTTTTTGAGTTGAACGTCACAGGGCCATTTGTCTTTTGCCCCTTGTGGATGCCCATCTGTGAGGTGTGTCGCCATGGAGCTCTCCGGGTCTGACGTCAGCACAAGTGGACGTGACTGCTCCTCTCACTCTGTCTGCAAAAACATGGTTGTATCTGTCGCTGCAGTGAATGAAGATGGACAGAATAAAAATGCGTGTAGATGAAGTGAAGATAAACTGTGGAAAAGACAGAAATAGTCAAACCCAAAGAGATGGTCCCTTCTGCTGTGTTAACCATCCATTAGCACAGACTGGATGTGTATCACTTATTTCTCTCTGGGGCTTTGGTGACTCAAGCTTAGACCAGAAACAATTTTTGTATCGAATGAGCTTTATTTGGACATAATGCTAAACAAATACAATACATAGAATACATGCCTAAATAAGGGTGTGAGGAAATAAATACTCAAGGGAAATATCGGCTTACATTAAAGATTAAAATTTTGGTCTTCCAAAATTATTTCCAAATAAAAGTTTTTGTGTGTGTGTGTGTGTGTTGTTTTTTTTTTTAACAGACTAATGCTGTTTACACAGACCTTGACATGTTTCAGATGCCTTCTGCATCCTTCAAATATCATCTACTATAACTATGGGTAGGACTGCAAAATGAATCAAACAGGAATCACATTTTAAATTGCAACAAAACAAAAAAAAAAATCTGTTGTGGTGGTTGTGGTAAATAATAAATCCTATCACAGTTTACCTGAACCCTGTCCTAAGAACAGAATTTTTTACTGGTGCTGGCATTTCTTTAACCTTTAATTCATAGTAATAAATATTATATGATTTTGAGTATATGCAAAGAGACTGAAAACCAGACAAATAAACAAACTAAACAACACTATATCACATGGAAAAACACTGCAGTATTTTGCTGTTATTGGTGATTTTACAGCATTTTGGACTAAGCTCTGCAGCCTATTTAATCTTTACTGTGTCCTCTTTGTGTCTCAGGAGCCTATCTGGTGCCCTACTTCATCCTGCTGCTGCTCATTGGGATCCCTCTGTTCTTCCTGGAGTTAGCTGTGGGGCAGAGGATCAGGCGGGGCAGTATCGGGGTGTGGAACTACGTGTACCCTCAGCTGGGGGGCATCGGGGTGTCCAGTCTCATGGTGAGTCATGTGATCACTCTGATGTGAATGGACCACTGTGTTAAGAACAGGGAATATGTGAAGGCTCATTTTCATCCAGGTCAAAGTACAAGACAGTACATTTGTACTTGTTTTTCTGACTGACTGGTTTGGTGTAGTTGTTCGTGACTTATGAAAAGATAAAAAAAAGATAAAAAAGATAAAAACTACATCTGAATTAAAGGAGGAAAACCAATAGAATATACAATAAAACCTGTACATTCAGTATAGTATCAAGATCTGGTTCTCATTATATCTCCTGAAACGTCTTTGATTTTGACTGTACTAATCAACCTATTATTATGCCAAACAAATTCAGTTGTATGAATACTTTGCTCATTTATTAGTGATTGGGCTGTGGTCGCCATAAAAGCAGTGAGGAAAGCAACAGTCATGTATTAATTATTATTTATTATTAAACAACAGTTTTTTATATATACAATCATTACACCTTGAGAATCTCTACTGATCTGATCTAAGCAGGGTTGGGTCTGGTAACTACTTGAATTGGAGACTGGTGGGAATACCAGGCGCCACACTGAGGTGGCAGTGGCTGCGTTAAGTACAGGCAAGATAAAATACAACAATTTAGATCATACAGCAATTTAAAATAATCAGGGTTAAATTATAAGGAGCATTTTGGTAGCTCAAGAATGGCTAATATATATTGTTATGAATGAATCCCATCATCATTCTTCATAACATTGTGAAAACTAGTATTCATACAAGACATAATGTTGGATTTCCAGTGACATTCAGAACTGACAGTAACATAAACTGCATTGATGTTTGATGAGCAGTTACCAGTAGACTTATTACATGATGTTATTTGCTTAGACAGCCCACTGAACTCTCCGTGCCTTGTTGTTAGTGCTTTAATGTGCATTGCGTTTTCCAGCTCCAATCTGTGGCATAATCCACTCACGACATTTCCAGGAGTGGTGACCCTCCGAATGCCCGTCCCATCTGCCTTTTCTGTGTAAATCCTGCAATGTCAATATGCCCACTGGTCGTCTTTTTGCCTGATAGCCATGTGATCAATCTATTGCTAAAGAGGGGGGGATTTTTGAGGCAATGAGGCGTGTGGCAGCTTCGATGTGGCACACCGAGAGTCAAGGCTATAAATACCTCGTGGTCCAGGGCCAGTCTGAGCTGCTGAGAGAAAACAGTTCAATAATTCATGTGGCTCCGAGCTGCGCTTTTGGAGGTTCAAGAAAAGAAATAACTGCACCCAGTCAGCCCTGTGTTTTTAGGGTTAGTTTGGTGGGTCCTTCGCCCTCTCTCCAGCATAAGGACAATCTGATACTCAAAGAATTTTTTGTTAATCTGCCAATAGTTGCAGGGTAAATGTCAAATTGAACAACTCATTTATGAGAGTAATTTCAATGATTGCTGTTCAGAATAATATGTGTCCTTGCTCTGCCCCTCAGAATCTGAAGCAAAGCCACTTTTCTAATCCATATTGTTATGAAACAAGTGTCATAAAATACTATTAATACAATACATTTGAAATAATTGTCATTAATCCTGATTATAATTTTGACCTTAAATGAGCAACAAGACTGAGCAGATTGAACCTTTCTTATTTTTAGATTTTATAGAAATAAAAAATTGTAAGTGGTACCGTTTTGAATCTTACTGATTGTTTCCTGAAGTACAGAATTGAGAACCTATGGTTAGACTGAGTCCAATGCTCCTGATAATCCTGTCTCCATGCTTCTTCAGGTTTGTGGTTTTGTGGGGCTTTACTACAACGTCATCATCGGATGGAGCATCTTCTACTTTTTCCAGTCCTTCCAGTATCCACTCCCCTGGGCCGAGTGTCCCATTCAGAGAAATGGGAGCCAAGCCAGTGAGTCCAAAGTACACACACTCTAGTGCCATGCTTAGCATATATAGAATTTAAAATTGTATTTTTACAAAATACAAAACTGGATTTGTTCCCTGGCAATATGTCAAACTATGTATATCACAATCTCTTAGTGCTAGATCATTATTTAAATTTTTGAAATGATTCATGTAGAAGTTTGTATCTTTAAATTGCCTTGAAGAAGTAACTAAAGTCATCTGCCTCCTCTGAATGTTCACACTTCATTCCAATTGGTTACATCCACCTCTCGCTCACTCAGGCACACAGGCTGACCAATAGGAGGCATAGGTGGACAAAAAATGTTTGAGCTTAGAGCTGCATTCGAGAGGAAATGTGTATGGTATTTTTTACAAAAATAGCAAAATATCACAATTAGATTTTTATCACCGTATCGACCAGCCTTACTTTATGTAAAACGCGAATGGTGAAAACAGCATCTGACATAAAAGCAAGCAAGCATCTGAGCAAATATGTGTGACCCAGGAATCTGAATTTTCTTCTCACCAAGTGGATTTTTAATGATTGTAAATGCACAAAGATAAAAGACAGACTTATGCACATACATAGGTCACTGCTGAGTCAAACTGAACAGTAATAGAACAGTAACACAAGCTACATACCCAGCACTTGACCATTCCCATGTCACCCTGACCTTTCCTCTGCTCCACTCTCAGACTAAAGGGTTGTTAACGAGTCCAAATGATGAGGCAGCTTCAGTGTAAGATAGGATCGCAGACTGGGGCGGGGAGGGGGTGCTCTGTGTGCGTCAGAGCTGGACTGAGAGACTGAGAGACTGTGAAACGTGTTTTGGCATCAGAGCAGCTCATCTGGACATGACCCAGCATCATAACTGAAAACTTACCTTTATTCACACATCCCCACACCTCATCTTGTAATAAATCTGTTTGTGGATGAAAAGATCAGACGGTAATGGGGCAGCGGTCTCTGGTGGAGCGCCATGCTTTATCTCCATTAGTTTGTCTGCTTATGATTATGGACCCAGAGGGATTACTGCTCTAATCTTTGCTATTTTTGGTTGTAACTCAGAACATTTACTCCAATCTTCAGCTTCAGTACTTATATATTAATTTGTCTGCTATTATTATGCAATATTTGTTGACATTTAATCAACTTAATCAGTACACTATTCAGTAGTTTCAGGATGATGATAAATTAGGGCAATTAATAATTTAAAGTAAAATATGATGTAGTTTGAATGGTGAAAAGTCCTTAAAATGTCATATATTACAGGAAGTATAAATAAAAAATTAATTCATTCATTCATTCATGGATTATAAAAGGGGTGTTAAGAAAGGAAACTGGCATACAAAAACACAGACCACTGACTTTGAAAACACTTCATTAATCATTTCTTTTTGCGCCCATTGATGAAAATCACTGATTGATTTTTCCACTGCTGTGGAAAAACAACAACTAATTTTGTAACGAAGTTCTCTAAATGTCTGTTTATAGTCGTGGAGCCAGAGTGCGACAAGAGCTCGGCCACTGGTACAGACAAGCCCTGAACACCACCAGCACCATCGATGATACCGGGGGCCTCAACTGGAAGATGACTCTGTCTCTGCTCGTGGCCTGGGTCATGGTCTGCCTCGCTGTAATAAAGGGCATCCAGTCCTCGGGGAAGGTATGAAGTCTTTATAGGGTTTCTATGGGATCTGGTGAGGTCTGTGGGATGTATATGAGGTCTGTAGGGTTTATATGAGGTCTGTGGGATCTATATGAGGTCTGTAGGGTTTATATGAGATCTATGGGATCAATATGGGGTCTGTAGGTTTTGTATGGGGTCTGTATGAGGTCTATTGGGTCTGTATGGGTATAGCTGCAGTTGTTTATATAATATATAATATAACTTTGTTCTGCTATACACTGTTACATCATAACAATATTCAGCTACTCCAGGTAGTGCTCAGCAAGTGCTCCATTTTGAAATTGCTGACTCGGTTTTGATCAGGCTTTAAGATGTTTTAAAGCCGCAGTATCCGCACTAGTCTATTTTTGTCCCTCATCTGTATTATGGAGGAGAGTGACATGCAACATTAATAAGCTTAAGCTAAACTAGGCAGAGGCAGGCTCACTGTGCAGATGGAAAATGCTCTCTTTGGCAGCAACTACAACAACAGCATCCTGTAATCGAGATCCAAGCTGATTCACAAACAGCAGCACAACAGCTAGCCCACACTTCAACAACAAATCACGCATATGAGAAAATAGACCGTTCGATTCTAATCTGTTTATCAGTGGGAATTCTGTGACAATTCCCCAGAACAATGTAGGATATGTTCATGTTGTTGCCTAGAGATTTTCATAGTGCCAAAGTCTATGCATGAAGGCTAACAATATACTCCCATCCACCTGCTAGGGGGTCTGCAAATGGAAAGTAGCCCAAGACTATAATCTGGCATATTTACTAGTGTCTAAATGTTCATTAATATGCATTGTTCCCCCTTTCTCATATAAATATATACATTATTTGATAGGATTCACAATTATACATTCACAGTAGATATAAAGTGCACTGTGTAGTTTTTCTGATGGAATGTCCACTCCTGATCATCTCCCTGGAATGTTCCACAGTATTCCATTAAATTTATCCACAAAAGTTACAGAGTGAATTCATATAAATTCTATGTGTAGGTGATGTACTTCAGCTCCCTGTTCCCCTATGTGGTGCTCTTCTGTTTCCTGGTGCGAGGTCTGATGCTGAAGGGAGCCGTGGATGGGATTGCGCACATGTTCACCCCAAAGGTCAGAACAAAATTATGCAGGAACCAGGAAAATACATGTACAGTACACAGTATAGTAACCATTACCTAGAAAGATCAAGTTAGCCTTTACACATGCAAAATATGTTGTTTTTGCTTAAAAGCTCCAACTCCAAAGCCCTTTCCTTTACACTGCCAAATACTAGTACTCATACAAATACAATTTTTGGTAAGGTAATAAGTTCAGAGCAAACTGTAAAATTCGTTAAATATCAGACATGATAATGTTTGTAGTAATACTGCATTAAGACAGCACTAACAGTGATGGTTGTAAAAGGCTTCTCTTTCACTGCTCTGGTGCCTAACCCTCATTTATCATCTGTTCATTTGACAGTTATGTAATTTTAGTGACACTCCTTCAATGCAGGGTATGCCTTGATGCATGTTTGATGGAGCTGTCAGGAGCTATAAAGCAATTTAGGCCCATTCAATGGAAAATGTGATCGCTTCAGAGTCATAACGCCCTCTTGTGGTGTGTGGTTGGTTTTACAGGAGTGATTTTTAATATGATGACATTTACTGAATATTTTGCAACATTCTACATTTATACAAATTCATTTTAGACTTTCTTATTGTGCTGAACATAATTCATATTTGTGTGTATGTTTTGTCTCTAGTTGGAGAAGATGTTGGAGCCGCAGGTGTGGAGAGAAGCTGCCACTCAGGTGTTCTTCGCCCTGGGTTTGGGCTTTGGAGGTGTTATCGCCTTCTCCAGTTACAACAAACGGGACAATAATTGCCACTTCGATGCTGCTCTGGTGTCTATTATAAACTTTGTAACGTCCATTCTGGCCACACTTGTGGTGTTTGCAGTGCTGGGGTTCAAAGCAAATGTCATGAATGAGAAGTGTGTCGTTGAGTAAGTACTTCTTTCATACGTTTAATACTGATTTGGGTGAAATATGCCTCAAGGTTGATTGTTAACGTTGGAAGATTAGGCAATTGAACAAGCAGTCTTTGTAGCAAAAGTGCCTGGTGTAGCTAGGAACAGAGACTTTTTTAAGGCATTAATTATATTCACAATGTGACAAAGTGGTACCACTAAACACCTATTTCCAAAGTGAATAATATAATCCTGCTTTAGTTATTCATATATTAGATGTTTGTCTCTTATTCTGCAGAAATGCTGAGAAGATCCTGGGTTACCTGAACACAGGGGTGCTTAGCAAAGAGCTGATTCCTCCTCACATAAACTTCTCACACCTGTCGGCCCAGGACTATGCTGAGATGTACAGCGTCATAAAGACAGTGAAGGAGGACAGCTTTGGGCAGCTGGGGCTGGACTCCTGTGTGTTGGAGGATGAACTCAACAAGGTCAGCTCTGAACAGCAGTAAAATGCTAATAGCACTGGTACAATAGAATTACTGCAGCATTATTTCTGTCTGAACGCTATCACTGTGTCTCATGCTCCAGGCGGTGCAGGGCACTGGACTGGCCTTCATTGCCTTCACAGAGGCCATGACACACTTTCCCGCCAGCCCCTTCTGGTCAGTCATGTTCTTCTTTATGCTCATTAATCTGGGGTTAGGCAGTATGATTGGCACCATGACTGGTATCACCACTCCCATCCTGGATGCCTTCAAGATCCGCAAAGAGATTCTCTGCGGTGAGAGATTAGTCAGATAATCATGGTTTGTGCAAGTGAATTAAAAAATCTAACTCTTGTATTTTGTCTCTCAGTGGTTTGCTGCATCATTGCCTTCCTGTTAGGTCTTCTGTTTGTGCAGCGCTCAGGGAACTACTTTGTCACAATGTTTGACGACTACTCAGCCGGATTGCCCCTCACTGTGGTGGTCATCCTAGAAAACATCTCTGTGGCCTGGATCTATGGCACCAAGAGGTCAGCTCGCAGGCATCAACACTTTTGTATTGTCCATTTTATACAATGTGTATTTACAACCATCATCACATTTTGCATTTAAAATTTTTTGGGGATGGCTTTTTAATATTCGTCTATCCATCATTCTTCTTCTCCCAGGTTCATGCAGGACTTGGAGGACATGCTTGGTTTCAGGCCCTATTCCTTTTATTTCTACATGTGGACATATGTGTCACCTGCGATCCTCGTGGTCCTCATCGTTGCCACAGTTATAGAGATGGCCATTAGTCCTGCAGGGTACAACGCCTGGTCCGAGTCAGAGGTATTACTTCAGACAATGACTTTTGTTTGGAATGAAAATCGTATAGTTTGTATTAAATCTGGATTACCTGACTTTCACACATCAGAAAGAATTAGTAGGTATTTAAATCTGTCTCACTCATCCCTGGCTTTCACAAACCCTTTGGCACATAATCATTATCCACATTAATTGTCCAGCACGTGGCTTTGGAACAACTTTTTTCAGATGGCAAAGTGAAACTGGGGTTGGAAGCTATCTTATAATAGTGTTTAGAGGTGGAAAACACAGAATTGACTCATTTCCCAAGAAAAAAAAAAAAAAGTTGTTTTTAGTTGCATTTTCTTCTAAAATGCTGACTTCAACAACAGTAATCATTTATAACCTGTAGCATTTCTTAGTCATTTATTGCACCCCTTCTCCTTCTCTCCAGGGTATGGAGCACTTCCAGAGCTACCCTCCCTGGGCTTTAATCATGGCCTATTCCCTCATTGTCATAGCCATGCTCCCTCTGCCTCTTGTCTTCATCGCACGCCGCTTTAACCTCCTCTCTGACGGCTCCAACAAGCTCTCTGTGTCCTACCGCAAAGGCATGATGAAGGACATCTCCAACCTAGAGGAGCAGGACGAGCAACGCTTCATTTTGGGCAAAAACCCCAGTGAGGCCCCCTCTCCCATGCCTCCCCACCGTGCTTATCTGGGCCCTGGAGGTACTCAAGAGATGACCAATACTAACTATGGCACAAGCACCAAGACGGGTTACCAAAACATAGGGTCGCCTGAGTCCGAACTATGATCTGCTGTAAGATCCAGAAAATCCCTGCTGCAAATGAAGAAAGGCCAAGGATGTGTCCACTGCCCACTGTTTCACACAATCTCTTAGTTTCACCTCACAAATGGACTGCTACCTGCATATGCCCACCTCTGAGCTGTCAAGTAGCTGCCAATCCCCACATGTAACAACGGGATTTAGGACCAGTGAGGTTTAGCTGATACAATCACATTTCCATCTACTTAGATATTAGACACATAGAAGCACACAAGATACAGCACAGTTGTGGTTTGATATGGATTTTTGTGAGCCTGAGGTGTGGGCAACATTGTCCATGAACCAAAAGGTAGTAGTTATTTTTCAAGGCATATTGTTGCCCTCGTATTTTGGGGGACTCTTCACTTTACTGTGCTATCTTTTTAGAGGATGGGGGAAAGGAAAATATGTTATTTCAAGTTATATCCAATAAGGGAATATTCACATATAGAAAGCATCTATATCAGACCAGTAAGTGTTTCTAGTAGTAAAACAGTGTTGCCACTATAAGCACATTTCTCAAAGTTATTGTGCCTATCACACATCAGCAATAACCATCTCCTTCTGTGCATTCCCCACCACTGTAGATTACTGTAAATATGAATGTGCAATAGTTTAAGATGTCCTGGTTAAACAATGTACAATACCATAACTAAAGGGTGTATCGTCACTAAATTCCATCCATGCACAAGTAGGCTATTTAGCATCTCTGAGCCTTTAACACAGAGCAACAATTTTGTTTGTAGTCTCTTTTCATTGAAAACAATATATTTTTTGTAAGCACCAATAAAAAGGCAGGGGAGGTCTATTTCCAGTGTGTAAAGATATACCAGAAAGACATAGGCTGGAGGTGTTTTACCATTGTGTCTGTCTGCCACTGAATGAGAGTGCCCCTGCCTTTGGTTAAAAATAGCGCAGCATTATCCAGGGAAAAGACACACCATAGTTACCGGTCCTCATCTGGTGGAGAAGAGGGAGTAGAAACCATCCTCTTTTGCTTAACCTTTGTGCTGTCTGTTGATCAGCAAAGTTTAGCCTATAGTTTATTTGTATTGACCTTGTTGCGTTTTCTCAATGTTTGTAACAGGTTCACTGCCATGTTGTGTTGTGGAATAATCATAATTTTCAACCCAAACAAGATGCTTATTAGATTTTCTCATTGCGGACATAAGGGCACTACACAGTTTTGATGTCTTTCTGTGACAAGTAAACACTCTAATTTGTTTAATATATATTATTGTAAGGACATGTTTAGAGATATGTGAAAAATGTACTGTGCGCTCTTGGTGTTTACTAAATGGTAATACTCAGCTTTGACCACTTGGTGTCTCTGTTGGCCATGAGTGCTCCTCTATGACGCTCAAGTTAACGGACTTATCCAGCAGCACATTGACTGTATATGGTTCTGCACAGCCCCTCACGCTGTTTGGTGCCTACAGAGCATCTCTGTTGTCTCCACGCCTTATGCTTTTGTTGTTATGTTGATTTAGTGCAACCAGTTAAATTTGGACCAATGTCTTGTTGCATTCACTTGAGCACTTTAATTAGGTTGAGGCCCTGGAGTTGGTTGTTAGTCAAGCACACGAATTTTAAACTTCAAACTTCAAAATAGTCATAGCACAAATTTCAAGTACCAATTAGCACATAAGGAATAATTGTTCACATAGTCTTACCATAGTTTTGTGTAAATTAAGACCGTTTTGAATGGGAATATGTCCTTGAAATGTTTCATATAACAGGAAACTGAAACCCATGAATAGGCTACTCTAACATCCCTATACAAAATGGTGGCATGGATTAATCAAAGCACATGTTATTCCTGAAGTTTTATTTTGCTATACAGATTTAAGCTTTTTACTGCTCATTGAAGGATGGATTAAATGCAGAGGACAGATTTACAGGGACAAAAGTGTACCTTACCTTACCTTAACCTTATCATAGGAGCTCTCATTTAGAACAGCACATTTCTGAAATGTAGATTGTAAAAGCACATACTAGTGAAGCACATGTAGGTGAGCACAACAGGATATGCAGGTCCTCTGAGTCTGAATCAGTACTAATTTAACTGTGGAGATGACGTAGATCCCATTAACTTCAATGCTGATAAAGGTGTTGTCTCTTTCCGGTGTCTGAGAGGTCACTGACAGGCAATTGAACCCCAAAAATATCCTGCTCCACAACCTGGCCTCATGCTCGTAAAGGTTAGAAAGCACTTGTAGATCTGGCACAATGACTGAATGATAAATCATATTCTACTTTGCCTATACAATAATGATAGGGAGAGCACAATTTTAGGCTGTGTTCGCATAGCAGGAAAAGGTTATGCTAAGATCTCAATTTCAGTCACTGTTATGCTGATGGTCTAATGTACAAACATGATAAATCACCATGCAACTTGAGCACTGCGAAATCTAAGGCAGTAACAATTAATCTGACTTATCGACTACTGCTGATGCCAAAATATGTTATCACAACAAATATTGGTAAATATTATCTCTTTAGAATTCTTCAATCAGCATATCTTAACCTTAATTGGAATAAAATGTATTGTGATGTGCAATAGAAATAATAATTTAACTAATCTTAGACAAATCGACTGCAAACATAATAATTAATTGTAGCCATAGTGAATACAAATGAGGAAGTGAATAGCTGAAAAATTGTTAAAAAAAAAAAAAAAAAAGAATGAAAAATGAAGAGAAATATCTACACAGTAAATTAAAATGGCATCCTGTTCCTTTGGCATGTGAACTCAGTCCTCATCCTGTGTAGTTTGACTGATGCACCTTTCACTTATTCTTTATGGAAGCAGCACTTGTTATATTGATCTTATTTATCCCATTTTATTTTTTCCAACTTCAGGGCCTCTGTGTGTCATCCATGTGTGTTGCATGATGTAATTCAGAGCAACAAGTTAAAGTCTGCCTCAGTTATAACACTGAGCTCCTATCAACAGCAGTAGAGTCAGAGCATATTTATGATACAGATCTAGTCTATGTGACCAAACCATAGTTCTATTTATAGTATTTAAGACAATGTATTTAAACTGTATATATGGGTGTACATTCGCAATGAGTGTCTATAGTGAGAGTGGCAGGGTGTAAATAATAATTGTATATTTTAAACTATTTTTTGATTTTTGTACTGTAGGTAATGTTACTTTGGTGTCTGTTGCTTTGTGCTGTTGGTGCGTGGTTGTGTAACAGTTAGCTGGGCGACTGTGGAGTAACTGAAGTGTGCATCAGACAAAGTAAATGTATATGTTTTTGGTGTTTAATGTGTGTTTTCTTCTGTCAGTGTTGTACTAGCTAAACTAACTGTGTTGTTGAGTGAAGTGGAGCCACAGCATAAGCAATCTTCTTGTGTTGGTGACTGGGACTATTACAGTGGCTCCTATCTCACTATAGCAACAACAATCAAAGAATGGACCAAGAGTTTAAGCAGAACCTTTTCTGAGTCCAAGAGAAATGTAAACTGTTCAAACACAGTGGAATTAAACACTTTTATGAAACTGAACACATGCCTGTGTTTTTTATTTTCCCTATTTAGATTTATTATGATCATGTTATAGTTGTAGGCTTTATTTGTTTGTTCACTTTATTTGAGCATCAGTATCAATCCAGTGTATTTCACATGAGTATCATAAGTATCAAATCCAGTGTATACCACATTACCTAATCAGTGAAGATGTTGCCTGCTTTACCTGAAATGTTTCACATTATGGCATTAAACTTATGTGTCTATGTGTCTTGTGTCATAGAAGCCTTTTTATTGCCAAAAGTACTTAGTTTTGTTGAAGTCACATGGAGACAGCAAAATTTTATGACATTTCTGAGGAATATTCTAGACAAAACAACATTTCCACAGAAGGTTTCAGACCCTTCACCTAAAAACTTACATCGTGCCCCTTTAAATTCCTGTAAACTGGAGCTACAGCAGCCATTCTCGGAATCTGAAGGGCCTTCCTGTTGATCTGATGATCACATGGGCCCCCTTTTAAAATTTACAGTCAGTTCAAAAGAATACATAATATTTTTCCTCTCAGATTTACATTTTAAAAGTACATATAATATTGGTCTTAACAATGAATTATATTTGCAGATTAAACAAATAAATTATGCAAAAATCAATTCAAACTGAATTTCCTTTTATGCTTGTTGTATGAACAGCTTTTGGGGCTCCCTGTACTGCTTCTCTGACCCCCCACATGTGACGTATCACTGGCCCAAATCCTTATAGTGATATAATAGTTAAACAGTTTGTTTTACCTCCATTCCTTCACTGCACTTTCTCTTCAGGTGTACACTGTTCTCTTTGAGCAGCACTGACTCTGAGTTGTGGTTTTAATAAAATGAGCTTCGCTCCTGACTTCAACATCCTCACCATTAACTCCTGTTTCTGTTAAAAGACAACATGAGCTTGGTTAAGCTTCTTTAGTCAATACTTGCAAAAGATTACAAAAAAAATGACAATTATTGATCTCACAATGGAATAATTCATGTGTTAAAGAGGCTTTTAAAACAAGATAAAGGATTGCAAAAGTAAAATAAAAATGATCTGAGAGGAGTTGCTCAAATTACAAACACAAATTTGATCACTTTTTTTACAATTCTGTGTCCAGCATGTTAAAATCTTACAAAGGTCACTTGATTGTGGTCGATGTTTTAATTGTTCTAATCTCTGGTGAATCTCCTCCCTCTGGAAAATGCAAATGTAACACGACACAGGACAGTCACAAGAAAAGAAGACACACTCAGGACACAGGACAGTTATAGGAGCAGAAGACACTGCAGTGTGCATCCATGCATCCTTTTTCTATGAAGCAAATTGTTTGCATGACTGTCCATCAGTTGTACTAAGATTTGTATGTGTTGCTTCCAGAGTCATCTACAAACAGAGTGATATCCAGAGCTCTGCTGTAGCTGTGGGTAAGCTCGTGAATGTAATAGTTGATGTTCGTTATTCATTAACGGATAAAATGAAAATACTAAAACAAAATAAAAATCTGTATCTTTCAGCAAAAAAGGAAGATGTTTGAGAACTAACAAAACACAGAGCACAGTTGAACAAAGTAAGTAAACCAACTAAATTTTTTCAACTTCCTAGTGAACATTTATCATGTGTTTCTACAGGGTGATGACTTTATACCAGATGCCCTACCTCTTACTGTGTTTTGAGGAAGAAACGCAGCACATGGTGAGTATTACTTCTGCATGTACACTGTGATTCTTTTCGGGTCCATTATTGTATTAGAGAGTAAGTGCCTTAAGTTTATTTAAACATGTACAACACAGAGTAGATCATCATAATGTAATCATGTGTTATTCCTGTGTCCACAGGCAGAGACCAGAGCGTCTTCACTGGAATAAGTCCTCACATGTCCAACTCCAAACAGAGTGTCACTGTGTGTTTGATTCTGTTTAAGATAATACAGAACTGTGGAAACCTAAATACTGTTTTTGTATTCTTTTACTTTTTAAACCCTGTAAGGTCATTAGATGTTGCATGTCAAAACACTTGTGTAGACAAAATTAAATTATACATAAAAAATAAAAACATAATAAAGGCAAATTTTCATGATAAGGTAGCATGATTAGATCAAAAATCATTTCACCATGATTTGATCAAATTTCATCACCAAGGTGTCGTCCATGTTCTGACAAAAATATGTGTAGAGGGGACTGAAGTAAGCATCAAAGCCTAAACATAATTTTATTGCTTTTCATATTTTTTAATGCAAATCCAGCAACCTTTTTTGGGAGCAGATACATTTGGATAAAAAAAAGCTAATTACTTTCACAAAGGTGACAAAGGTGGGACGTGACCTGCTTTGAAAAAATGAGAAGTAGGCTATTGTTCAACCTGGGAACAATTGAAATGCACAAATCCAAATAAAGGACTTGGGCTGTGTTCCAGTTATCAGACTGTGAATAAAAACATGAATTGCACCTCTTGTTGTTGTGTTGCTTTTGGACGTACATCGTGTGTCCTTGCCTCCGTCACACTTCCTCTTCTACTTGGCACTTGGAGCTTTAAAGGACATCACACAACTCTGCATCCTGTCAACACAAGGTTCCCACCAACACGTGAGGCCCAAGCACGTCTCCATGGAGGTTTCAGTCCTTTTCTAATGTTCAGGTCTACACACAGCCGATGCATGGGAGGCCATTTCCCATTTTCCCACTAGCCAACACCTGATGCAGGAAGAGGACGCTATTGACACCCGGAGAGGAGTATTTCTGGATGTGGAGCTGGCGTGGGCAGACATCCTTCAGTCATATTTTCTCACTGTTTTTTTTTTTTTTTTTTTTTCACATGATGACAGGTGGTTGTAAAGGAAGGTCTTGATAAAATATGAAAAGGATTATAAAACTCCTTAAAGGGGCCATGTTACTCTATTTTCTGATCTATGTTATAATGTTTCCTCATCAAAAACATGTCTGAGTTGTGTTTTGTTTCTTGTTTTGTTTGTTGTGTTCTTCTCTCAGGCTGAAAATACTCCCACCTTCTGATGTAATGTGGTAATACAGGAAGTGCTCCACTGTGTCTTTAAATTCCACACACTTTCAGTATCATTTGGATGTTTTCATTTCTGGAATTGCAAATCTCTCCTGAACTGAAGGTAAAATGTAACAAAAAATTACCACTTCATCTTTGGGGATGAAGGCAGACAAATAAATGATTACTCAAACATGTCTGAATGAAACAAAACACAATTCCAGATCTGTTTTTGAAGAGGTAACAACATGATTTAAAGCTCACATGAGTCCGTTTTATATTTTAATTCAGGGTCTTTGAAGGGACACCCAGTAACTTTTTCAGGGCCAAACAATAACATATGCATGGAGACAAGCAGGTGGCAAGCCCCACACCGGAAAGGTTTCACATTGCACCTTTAAACTGTCATGGACACTCTTGCTCACCCACTGCACCAGACTATAGAGGGACAGATAATACTCCCTACAACTATACAACAACTCACCCACTGCACCAGACTATAGAGGGACAGAGGAGCTCATTCTCCCACAGGTTCTTACAGCTCCACTCAAACAGTGAGAGAGATAGGACTACATTCATATCACACTCCATACAACTGTATAACAACTCACCCTTATGTAACAAATAATACTCCTTACAACTGTACAATAACTAACCCTTATGTAACGGATAACTCTATGTCCTGTCAATCATCATATCATTGTTGCGCTGTCTTCCTATGACCTCTTGTATAAAGCTGTGTTTTTATTTTATCACTTATTTACTTTTATTGTTACTTGTACATATACATTTATAAAATGGTGTCTTATTTGAGACCTGTCTCTTGCTTTTTTTTTTTTTGCTTTTTTTTTTTGCTACTTATTTAGAATTTATTATTATCATTTATATTTTTGTTCTTTGTTATTTTATTATATTGTGATGCTGGAGCTACTGTGTCCAAATAATTTCCCTTGGGAATCAATAAAGTTTGTCTAAAAGTCTAAAAATGCTACTATCACCATATCATAAGCAAAAAAATAAATTGAACAACTGAGCACTGAAATATATTGCATATTGGTCATGAACTATATATATAAACTATTGATCCCAATAGAAATGTTATGTAATATTTCTATCACATTATAATGATGTGGTTGTTTTCCTCTCACAAAGGACAAAATAAGCAGTGTGTGTCCAGGCTGTCCTCTTATCCACCTCTGCTTCATTAGCACTGCATTCAATTAAAACTACATATTTTAGCTGTTTATATCACAGAATATCTTTTTTCCTGTTGTCTTATGTTTAATCTTGCTGGTGGTTTGTGCCTATTTTTACATTGCATCATTACATTATCAACCAAGATGTGGAATATGCATTTGTAGAATGGCACCAGGCAGAAGAGACTCCTTTTAATTAGTTTACAATAACAGACAAATTGCATTAAGTCCAGACATATCATTATATCATCAATGGAATATGTCATAAAATCTATGTGTGATAAAGGTTTTGTTGTCTACATTTGTTCAAATAATTCAGTACTTCCACCCTCTCGTTTTCAAGTTATGTTATTGTGTTCATGGTCCTCTTGACCCCCAGATAGTATTTAGAGATGCGCTATATACTGTACATTTCTGGAATGTTCCACAGTGTGTCATTAACCAAAACAGCAAAACACTTACACTACTCATACTAATGCTTTTTATTTGTGCTTTGCAAGCTTTCAAAAACAGGGCTATAGGGAGGTTGTTATAGTTCACATGGGTTCATTGGGTTTCTGGTGTATTCACAGTATTCCACGTAGTAACATTTTACATATTATTTCATTGTTAATACAGTGTTTAGTTCCTTTGTAAACTTGTGTTTATTTTTAGAGGAGATTGTGAGAAACAGTGCACCTTCTTCCTTCCTTTTACCTCTGACCCTTCAAAGCAGGGACTCAACCATTGGTAATCCAGAAAAAAACATGGTACCACGATTTGCCATTTCCATTGGGTCTCAAGACATG